ATCACCACCAACAGGAACACAAATTGAGCTACGGAATCTAAGCAATCCATCATCACTAACCACAAAGTCTACATGCTTACCCGCTGCCATCTCTCCTTTAACAGGCTCACACCAGGGGTCAATCTCTTGAGCTAAACAAATCCGTTCTCTTAAGGTCGGCTGAACTTTCAATTGACTACAATAAACCCTATCACCAGGCGTAACAACCTCAAGCCTCAAACGTCTTATGTCTTCCACCAAACAACTCTCAATAAACAAAGCAACTACATCTCCAACTACGACCTTCCTACTCAAGGCATATGCCACCACATTTGCCTTCCCCGGATGATACAAAATATTCACATCGTAATATTTTAGCAACTCAAGCCATCTTCTTTGCCTCAAATTTAGTTCTTTCTGTGTGAAAATATACTTCAAACTCTTATGGTTAGTGTAAATCTCACATGACTCTCCACACAAATAATGTCGCCAGATTTTAAGAGCAAAAATCATTGTTGCTAACTCCAAGTCATGCGTAGGATAATTTCTCTCATGTACTTTTAACTGTCGTGACGCATAAACAATCACCTTCTCATGCTGCATGAGCACACATCCTAAACCTTGTCGTGAAGCATCACTATAAATTACAAAACCACCTCCGTTTATCGGTAAAGTAAGGATTGTAGCTGATGTCAATCTTTGTTTAAACTTTTGGAAGCTATGCTCACAATCATCATTCCACTCAAACTTTACCCCTTTCCTGGTGAGATTGGTAAATGGCAAAGCAATATGGGAGAATCCTTCCATAAACCATCTGTAATAACCAGTAAGCCCTAGAAAGCTATATACCTCTGTCACAGAAGTAGGTCGTGGCCAATCAACAATTGTTGCCACTTTCATGCTATCCACACATACCCTATCTTTACTCACCATATGACCCAAAAAGGATACACTGCTCAACCAAAATTCACACTTCTTAAATTTTGCATATAGTCTCTTCTCCTTAAGGATTTGCAGTACTACCCTCAAATGCTGCTCATGCTTCTCCTTACTCCTCGAATAAATTAGGATGTCATTAATAAATACTACCACAAATTTATCCAGTTGGGGTTTGAATACTCTGTTCATCAAATCCACGAATGTGGTTGGTACATTTGTGAGACCAAAAGGCACCACCAAGAACTCATAATGCCCATAACGGGTTCTAAAAATGATCTTAGGAGCATCTTCATCCCTTACATTTAACTGGTGATAGCCTGACCTCAAATCAATTTTAGAGAATACTTGAGCTCCCTGCAACTGGTCAAATAGATCATCAATTCATGGCAAATGATACCTATTCTTCACTGTGACTTTGTTCAGTTCCCTATAATCAATACACAATCTCATAGATCCATCATTCTTTTTTACAAACAACACAGGTGCTCCCTAAGATGAAACACTAGGCTTGATAAAACCTTTGTCTAACAACTTCTGTTACTGAGTTTGTAACTCCCTCAACTCCAATGGTGCCATTCTATAGGGCGCTTTAGAAATAAGTGTTGTATTGAGGACCAAGTCAATGGAAAATTCTACATCACGGTCTAAAGGAAGACCAGGTAGATCCTCTGGAAAAACATCAACAAATTCCCTCACTACAGGCAACTCGTCTAACTTCTGCCCTGGTTGTTCAGTATTCACCACACAAGCTAAATAGCCACGACACCCTTTTCTCAACATTTGGTTAGCCTGAAGGGACGAAATAAAACAAATAGAAGACCTTTTCCCATCTCCCTGAAAGAAAAACTCATGTTGCCTCGGCATAGCAAAAATTACCTTCTTTCTAAAACAATCAACAGAGGCATAATACTTCGTCAACCAATCCATTCCCAAAATCACATCAAAATCATTCATCTCTAAAGAAATCAAATCTACTAGAAAAATTCTTCCATGCAACTCTATCTCACAAGATCTACAAACATCCCCTAACATTATTGTTTCTCCTAATGGAGTAGAAACGGTAATACAAACATCAAAAGGCTCACAAGGAATAGAAAATCCAAATAGATATCTAGGTACTAAGTCTTAACCTTCAAAATTAAATCAAGAAAGATTCAACACAAGTTTAAACAAAACTAACTAAACCAAACATTACTAAGGACTATAGGGACTTGGGCCTCGTCTAACTGATGAAATGCAAGACATGTAACTCGATAAACTTTCTGGTGTAGAAGAATGAAGGAGAGGGTCTCCTTTTATATATGGAGGGAGAGAGGAAAAGGCTCCTACAACAAATGCAGGTTTTAATTTTGTAAAACTCCCAAGACATAAATTGCAAAATTGATGGCTTTAATCTCTCATATATACAAAGGAGTTACTAGGTTTTATACACGTGTATTGTGTATAATCCTGCAACCACCTTTCCCAACACCTTTTTTATGAAGCCAACTTAATGAGTCAATTTCTCATTCAAATCTTAATAATTTTTGGTCATTCTTTTTGTGATGTAAAGATCTTGTTACAAAGAATTTAATCCCACCTCAACCAATGGTTGAGACCTACTTTAATTTCACATTAAAGTCACCATAAAACCATTTTTTCCAACACTTTTATACCAGGTCAGCTTCTTATACACTGTCTTGACCGCTTTTGAGATTTTTCATCATCTTAAATCTTTTCATCGTGGGGTGAAAGGGTATGTGGCTCTCAAACTTGATATGAGTCGTATTGAATGGTCATTTGTCCAGGGAGTGATGCATCGAATTGGTTTTGATTAGCGTTTCATCTCTCTCATAATGAGTTGTATGACCTCGGCTAGTTATTCTGTCCTTATTAATTGTGTGCCTTAACAACAATTTCATCCTTCACGAGGTTTACGCCAAGGAGATCCGATTTTGTACTTTAATCAGCATCAGAAGCTAAAGTTGAAGAGAAAAAACACCCACAATAACATGAGAAGAGGTTTAAGAGAAAATGGAATTATTATAGGTGTTAAAAATCAAAAAACAAAAGTTAAAAATTAGAGGAGAAGCTCTCAAACCCCTTTTCCTAGGCATAAAAAATTCAGATTTACACTTTGAAAATGTTTTGGGAGCTCGCTGGAGACATATCAAAAAGTTACCGGATGAGTGCCATAAATTGCCTAAAGAGAGGCTCTCCAGTGTCATCTCCGGGTCTAATTATGGTCTTAAGATTATTTGTATGTTTTTCATATTGTCGTTCCATATTTCTTAAAATTTATTTGTCGATATTTTTTTTTTGTAAAATAAAATAAAATAATTCCTTATATATATATATATTTTTTAATGACAAAACCAAGAAACAACAATAAAAATGTTCGTAGGATGTAATTACATTTTGTATTACTTCCCCATATAGTTTAATTTCAATACTTCATTTTAAAATAAAAAAAATATATCAAAATTTTCAATTTATTGAAAAAAAATATTAATTAGAAGAACATTCGGAAAATATAATCAATTTTTTTGAATACTTATCATTAAGTTAGTTAAATTTGATTAAAAAAATAAAAGAAAAGTTAAGGGTGCCTCTATTTACACATCATGTTTGGTCTCAAGATACATCATTAATTAATTATTTTTTATTACAATAATGACCTTACTTAAAATGACCACAACTACACCTTAGTTGAACACACATCCAAACCCTAACCCTAGCCATCACTGCTGGAAAGAACAGAGCAAATGCTACAAAGATTGACCCATATTAAAAAAAAAAAATCACAACTATATATTTGAAACACAAAATTTTAATCTTTTAGCTTCTTTTTTTTGTGTGTGGAATGATCTAAATTTCAAACGCGTCGATACAATCAAAGACCCAATTCGAATCATGTGTGATTATACAACTTACATATATATAGTACTTCGAATATAAATCTGTCGAGAAAGAAACGAATAGATAGGAAGAACAGAGCAAACAATGGAAGAACTACGAAATCTTCATATTCTTGGTACGATTCTTGTTGCCAATCAATGGATTGAATGAATTGAGATAGACCCATTAGATTTTTCTGAGTAACCAAACAAATCTGTGTAGAAAAATCAGAGCTTGTGGATCGAATATGGAAGTAGAGACATCTATTTTCTCTCTTTCTCTCTCTCTCTCTCTAGCTTCAGGACAGTGGTCAGTGTGGAAAAAAGTCTTCGTGGGCTCAGAGGGGAAGGACAACTCTAGCAAAAATTATGTCTAACAATAAGGTTTTTTTTTTTTTTTTTTTGAATTTGAGGTGTGTAAGTGATGTGGGACTAAAGACAAAAATGGAACGTTGTGGTATGTGTTGAGAAAAATTATGTTTTTTCAAATTGTTAAAGATGTAAACTGAGTAATGGTGTGTCTTGAGACCAAATGTGGTGTGTAAATAGAGGCACCCAAAAGTTAAGGGTCAACACTCAAGGGGAAATTACCAATAAGTCGTATTTTTGAGACTTATTACCCATTAAGTCATATTGATAAATTTATCAGTCTCCTGTTTTTATAAATAAATTTATAGTGATAAATTTATTACTCTCTTATTTTTATAGTGACAAATTTATCAGTTAGGACCTGTAGGTAAATAAGTCTAATTAATATGACTGATTGGTAAGTGCCCCTAAACTCTAGGAGTTGGACTTAATTCTGATAAAGTCCTATTGAAAATAAGTTATAATAAAATTGTCGCTGAAAATAATTTTTTGTGATGATTTTTTGTAACGATTTTCATAAATTATCGCTAAAATTTATAATTAGTGACTTTTTCTGTGATGAATTTTTTAAATTGTTGTTGAAAATTAAAAATTAATGACATTTTTTTGTGATAATTTTTTAAATTGTCGCTAAAACTTATAATTAGTGATATTTTTTATGAATTTTTTTTTAAACAGTCATTAAAAATTAATAATTAATTACATTTTTTTAATAATAATAAAAAATAAATATCATTAATTATAAAAAAAAAAGATCTATTAAATAATAAATTTATCTATTAAGACTCAAAATTAATTAATGTATTGAAAATGCTCTCTCATAATAGAATACTATCACTGGGAAAAGAGTCCAGCAGATCTAGAACTCCAACCATCCTCCAATCCAATCTCACCTTTTTTAAGCATTCAGTCCAAATCGTCAAACCCCCCCAACCCACTTAATTCAACCAAACAATTTCAACAGATCTCTCTCTTTCGTTCTCTCTCTCTCTCTCTCTCTCTCTCTAGATTCGATGAGATGGGCAAGGCCTCTGTACTCATCTACATCGCAGTGGCTGTGCTCCTCCTCCTCCTCGTCTCCCATTCTCCCAAGAAACCCTCCCACCACCGCTACCGCCGCCTCAAGCTCCGTTCCAACTTCTCCCCCGACAAGCACTCCAGTCACCACCACCACGAGCCCGTCCCATTCGACCCCTTAGTCGCGGACATCGAGCGCAAGAGAGAGGACAAGCAATGGGAGAAGAAGATGTACTTTGAGCAAGCCCACAAGGAGTTGGAAGAAGCCCCTGCCGCCGAATCTCAGCCCGAGTGGGAGGACTTCATGAACGCCGAGGATTACTTGAACGATGAGGACAAGTTCAATGTCACTGGTCGCTTGGTCTTGCTTTTCCCCAAAATCGATGTCGACCCGGCTGATGGGTATGCCACTGAGAACGAGCTCACGGACTGGATTTTGAAGAATTCGGAGAGGGAAGTCATGCACCGGACCCAGAGGGAGATGGAGCTTCATGACAAGAATCGTGACGGCTTTGTTTCCTTCTCCGAGTACGAGCCCCCCAGTTGGGTTCGCAATGCAGGTTTGCTTTTTTTCTCATCTTCTGATTTTGTTACTGAATTTTGTTCTCTGTTGTTGATGTACTTGTTCAAGAAAGATTGATTGATTGATTGATTGATTAAATATGTTATGTGATGATGATTTGACTATAATGTTATTTGTTTCTTTTAGCACAAGCAATCAACTAGGTTATATACGTACCCACCACCCTCTCCCCACAGAGACCGACTACAACCATAACACAAGCAAAATTCCACCATAGCTTTAGGAGCTAGTGTTTTCATTCGTCAATCAAATTCCATTCGTTGGCTGCTTAAACCAACCAAAACCATAAAAGGTTAAGACCTCCCTGCTACTAGATCCAATCATATTGCTCTTGGTAGAAGAGCCCTCATATAGCTCAAGGTTGTCACAAAATATCCAAAACCCAGGCACCACTGAAGAAGCAAGATGACAAGCCCAAGACTAGGACCTATAAGCCCTCCTCACTCCAGTCATAAAGGTCCAAACAAGAGAAGATCAAAATCAACCAAATCCAAAAAGATAAAACCTTAATGCATAAGGGAAGAACCCAGATCCAAAACAACTCCCCAAAGAATATTCGGTAAAGAGAAGTGGAGGTGCAAGGACACTGATATAGTCTCCCAGTAAGAAACCAAGCCATCAAATAGAAGCTTATAGAAGCTCAAAACTTCATGTTTCATTACAAATAATAGTAGATTAAGGAGAAATTCAAACAAGCAAATCAAAAAAATATTTACCCATCCAAACAAAATGTACCGTACCATCTTGTATATCCAAACAAGAATCTGGGAAGGGATAGGAAGATTAATGACTCAACAATGTTAAGCAGAATCTGGAAGCACCCAAACTGATACCTTAGTTCTCACAATGAAGCTCAACACAAGAAAATAGAGGACACCAGCTAGAACCTCACCCACCACATCTAAAACAAATCTTAAAGTAAGAGAAAGGGCAGGCCATGAGATATTTATCAAAAAAAAAAAAAGGGGGCAGGCCATGAGAAGAGAAAATAGGCACAAACAAGGGAGAGGGGGCAAAATATTGACCAATTGAAGAGTAGGGGAAGGGGCAAAATAAGTGTTCTCTATGGTAGATGATATACATGAACAACAACCACATTCTTCATTAGGGGAAGGGGCAAAATAAGTGTTCTCTATGGTAGATGATATACATGAACAACAACCACATTCTTCATGACAACCATGAAGAAGCTCTAGAGAGAAGCTCTCAATCTAGAGAGACAAATCCCTATGCTCTTTTTTTGATCTTTTGACTACAATACAGTGGCATTCTTGGGTATGGGTGTTGCACTTATATTCCACACCGTTACCCTTACCATATCAAGTGGACAACGTACTAATGAATTTAATGAATGCATTCTATAGATTTTGGCCTTGTTTGATTGGTATTTAAATCTTTTTTTATATGAAATATATTTCAATTGTGCTAATTTAGTTGTTGGTGTGTGCACCTGAATTTGTTCCCCTCGACTAAAAATATGTCATTAGCAAATAACATGTACCAAAGGACCTATTCCTAGTTCCAAAGTATGCCCAATTAGTTCATTCATATCCACCGCAAAAAAGATGGGGTAAAAGTGGGTGCTTGATGTAAGCCTAGTGCAATAGGTGCTGGGATATAAATAATTCAACATTGAAGTTCTTGGTTAGATGCCATAATAACTTATACGACTGTAATTTTGTTCCATGCCATACCTTTTGTAGTCTGACCTTGTATTGGTATCTGATATTGGCTGCTAGATAATACTTCATTTGGGTATGAAATGGGTTGGTGGAAAGAGGAACATTTCAATGCATCAGATGCAGATGGTGATGGTCTCCTGAATATAACAGAGTTCAATGAGTAAGCTTGAACTTATTCAATTAGCCGAAGTAGTTTTTTTTCCCCTTTCTTTTCTGGTTTTTTGTTTTTCTTTCGCTTTTTTCAAGTTGAAGTTGGTTCTTTCTCTAATTTATTTTGTTGATGGACTCCAGCTTTCAGCATCCGGCTGACAGTAAGAACCCAAAGCTACTTCAATGGTTGTGCCAGGAGGAGATAAGGTACTGTGGTGTGGTGTCATCAATCTATATTCTTTAGATTTCGTACAACTCTCTTCTATACATTTTTGTTGTTTTTATCCTCCTAGATCTAATATACATTTGATAATTGCATTCCATTTTTCTTTCCTTTGGGTACATCTTGGTTACACACCAGGTACTTACATGGGTATGGCAAAGTATAAATGCAATTTTTTTAAAAAATATAAGGTACTAGAATAAATATATATTGTGTCAATTTTTAAATAAAGCAAGTGAAGGTTATCTTTACAAATTTTCAAATTGTATTCAGAGATGAAGTTGAATGAAGTGAAAATTATTAGCTTCATATGACTTTCTTTTATACTTAGCTTGCTTTTAGAATGAAACATTGGTTTGCAGATTAGCTGATGTAATGACATTAAACTAACTTAATGGATCTTGTTTTTGCCTTTGAACTCTCGGTTTTAGATTTGATTTTTTTACTAATTTTGACATTAAACTCTAGTTTGTACCTTGTTTTTAACTATTTTTTGCATTTAATTTTCTAAATTTTATATATCATGCAGTACTACAAATTACAATATGGACATACCTGTATCTTATTTTTTTATATGTTTTTTCATATTAGCGTACTTATACTAGCATTTGTACCTGTATTCATGCTTCTCAGGTTACTGTTCACAATACCCAGAATAACCCCCCCCCATAAGGGAAGAACCCAGACCCAAAACAACTCCCCAAAAAAAAAAAAACCAGCCCCTTATGACCTTGTGTTTCCATTCTCCAAGTCCTACCCTTTTTGTTGCACCTTTTGAAACCCTAGAATTCCTATATTATACCACCCGTCCAACCTTAGAAAAAACAATTAAATCAGCCTCAAACTCTAGTTTCAACTGCTAACTAATACTAAGCCATGGTTGCAACTTCAATGCTTATTTTCATACTAAAACACTTTAAAACTCAAGGGCGAGTTTTGTCCAATTGAGGAAGAATGATGCAAAACAAACCATAAAAAAATTAAGAGAAGGAAAAGTTAATAGAGGCAACAATGCTTGGAAATTGCTTGGTTTCAAACCAAATTCACTTAGAAATTAGAATCAATTGGAAACATGTATCATAAAGTTTTTAGGCTTAATAGAGTCTTATATTGTGATTAGTTACGCTTAGGTATTAATCTAGTTAGTTTTTTATATAATTTATTCAGTTTTATAGCTATAGGGGTCATCCTTGAGTAGTCATATGGGTCAAGTTACGTAATTGGGCTTTTATTTAGGGGTCTTATTGGGTCTTATATAGGTTTTAGAAGTCAAACATCTAGTTTCCTATTTAGGAATCCTAGTCCTAGTTGGTGTAGGAAGTGTACAAAGTCTACATGAAGCAATAAAATGCTCTAATTTAATGGAGAAAGTGTTTTACAGAATTTTTTGAAGTTGTTCTATGGATCGTTTGATGCAATTTTATATGTGTGTGTGATACCTATGGAATTTAGGTCCAATGCCTAGAGTTCTTCTTTTTTTAATTTTTCTATAATTTGTCTCATCACCTATCTAATTATGTGAAGTATTTTGCTTCTATGTAGTAAAAGAGGAAAACATATTAATCACCTTTCCAATGTTTTGTTTTGTTTATCTAAAACAATGCCTGAATCACCTTTGCATTGAGTTAGTTAAATAAAACCACAAGGCATCTCATCATCACAGAAGTGTTCTGCTTCCAAGGATGATTTGACCTTCCATGGTACTTATTAAGATTGATGTATTATTTGATTGTTTGTATGTATGATACAAGATTGATGTGTATATTGATTGATTGTGTTCTATTACAAATCAGAGTAGCTCATTATATAGGAGAGGGTTTGGGTAGTAGGTGAGGAGTAGGTGAGGGTAAATTGGTGGTAGGTGTAGTAGGTGTGGTAGTAGGTGGTGGTAGGTGTAGTAGGTGTGGTAGTAGGTGGTGGTAGGTGTAGGTAAATTCTAACAGTACTTTTCTTTCCTAATTAGATTTATGGAGTGCTTTCATTTGTGTTTTACTTGGTAAATTTTTGCTGAGCATGAGCAAATTCATTTTGAAGAAAAAATAAATAATAAGTAAAAAGAATTCTTCAATGCTAGTTTGAACAGAGGGAGTGATTTAAAGACCTCTTGCATTTTTTGCGGCCAACTAGGATTCTCTTAATTTAGAACATCTAGGTATCAAAAGGCAGGAATGATTTAGTTGACTCACAATCTTCTCTCTTGCAATGTTTACATTATTTTGAGGGAGCAAACTGATTAGATTCAACATTATTTGACTTGGGATAAAAATTTAGGAGATTATTATACATAGTTCGTTTATTGACTTCCTATATGGACTTTAGCTAGTTAATTGCTAGTTCCACCTATTCTTATCGTAAATTAGTGCACTTCATACTTGAGATGTAAGTTGGACTTTACTGGCTGATCCATATGCTTCTTTTTCTTCAGGGAAAGAGATTCTGACAAAGCATGGCGAAAGTTAGTTTCAAGGAATTTTTTCATGGGCTGTTTGACTTTGTAAGAAACTATGATGAAGAGAGTCACAATCCTTCGCATGAGTCTGATGATTCAACGGAGGCCCCAGCTCGAAAGTTGTTTGCTGAGCTTGACAAAGATGGTGATGGGTAATTATCAGGATATCTTTTTCTTTTACAAATATGAAAACTTGCTTCTGTGATTCTTGACTGTTTCTCTTTAATTTATTTTCCATTGGATATTTTTAGGTTTTGCTTGATTTAAATTACTTGAACTTCCGTCTTGCCTTGTAGATACTTGTCAGATGTTGAGCTGCTACCAGTCATTGGTAAACTTCATCCATCAGAACGTTACTACGCAAAGCAACAGGCAGATTACATCATCTCACAGGTATTCCTTCTACTCAAGAGGGCATTAGTTTTGTATTGATAATTAACAAAATTAACTTGTGTGTATGCTTTTGCCATTTGGAGTTGCAAAATGGTTCTCATAAACATGGATCTAGTATGCTGGTTGGTGTGGATAACATGAACCATACTTTTAATCACTTATGATGAATGAATAAATCTTGACTGCTTTTGATGGGGCTATTTCATGGTCTTGTTCTGCCTGATCCGCTGTAAAATTATCAATGTTAGTTTTACTTAATTCGTGTACCTTAAAGCTCTCGCAAAATCAAGGTGATCCACTGATATCATGGTTGTCCAACTTCAGTGATTATCACAAATCTAGGAACAGAATATGTTGCATTTTTTGGTTTCGTTTGGTTGATTTACAAAACGTGACGAAGGTGGTGGTTGGATCACCTCCTTTTCAGGGAGAGCTAATTGCTTGTTGGGTATTTTGGTTTGACACTGCTTCACACCCAAAAAGAAGGGAATGAGGAATTTTTAGTTTGACAGAATCTTATATTGCATTTTTTATGCAATTATTTGATGGCTGGTAAAAATTTTCAATCACGAGTTACTTATGAATCTTTAAATACGTCACGTGAGTACAAAAATGCTACCTTTAGGTGTTTTTAATCAGGCCTGTTGTTTCGCCTCAGATTGAGATCTTATGTATTTATTTTAGTGGATTCCGTATAGATTGTCAACTTGCTGCTAATGGCAATGTTCAAATGGTATTTGGCTGATGATGAAAATCTAGCTTTTTCAGTAAAATCCTACCCCTTGGCAGATAGATGTCATGGGTGATTATTATCTTTTGTTTGTAAGTTTGAAAAGTTGGGTGTTACCTGAGGGCTGAGGTTGCTTTCTTCCCTTAGTTGAGCGTTTCAATGAGATCTTGGCTAGAGAATTACCCCGCCTCCTCATGGTGGCCTACTCCGAACAGGTATATTTAGTGTAAGAAGGCAGCTGATTGAATGAATCTTTTTCGTAACTTTACTCTTCACGTACAGCTGGCCTATTTTTTATGGTTGAGGTTAATATAGATTGGGAAATGGCATATGCCATACGGTCCTGCTGGAGACCCCCAGCAGGAGAGACCCCCAGCACCCCCACCTCCACGTGGGGGGCTGGTAATGGCTGAAAATCAAAAAAAAAAAAAAAAAAAAAAAATTTTTTGTGCCAATAAAAAAAAAAAAATCCTACCCCTTGGCAGATAGATGTCATGGGTGATTATTATCTTTTGTTTGTAAGTTTGAAAACTTGGGTGTTACCTGAGGGCTGAGGTTGCTTTCTTCCCTTAGTTGAGTGTTTCAACGAGATCTTGGCTAGAGAATTACATCGCCTCCTCATGGTGGCCTACTCCGAACAGGTATATTTAGTGTAAGAAGGCAGCTGATTGGATGAATCTTTTTCGTAACTTTACTCTTCACGTACAGCTGGCCTATTTTTTATGGTTGAGGTTAATATAGATTGGGAAATGGCATATGCCAGATGGTCTTTCCTAGAATAGCTAGATTATTCTTGCATATTGCTTGCTCTAGGATCTTGGGTGGAAGAGTAGTTCTTTGCTATTTGATTGCCATTATTCTTGCATATTGCTTGCTCTAGGATCTTGGGTGGAAGAGTAGTTCTTTGCTATTTGATTGCCTTATTGCCCATTTCTGTAACCACACTTGATGTTCTGCAAGAAACAAGAGAAGATAAGGGATGTAGAGGTTAAGGAGACTTAAACTCTGATATTCTGAAATCTTATGAGCAGGCAAAAGATCACTCACAGAAAGTTTCTAACTAAGAATCTTGAACGATTATCAGTTTGGAGCCTGTCTGAATGTGCCTCTTTTCCCTGTTTCGCTTGCTTGTCTAATCAGATTTAATCTATATTTGCTTCTTCAGATGTGATGTCAAATTATAGAATATTTTTGACAGTGACGGGTGGAGATTTGTTTCGTAGAAACAGATGTTTCTCAACTTCTAGTGTGATAGTAAATAGTGATTAAGCCATCTGCCGGTCTGATGGGTGTCAGCCCCTCCAAGGTATCATTGTAATCCATAAGATCCTAATTAAAGAGCAGATACAAAGAAATATGTTGGGAACTTGCTATTTTGAGGCTGGATCTGCTTGCAACCTTTAGGAATCTAGTTTTTACATTGAATGAAGCTGTGTGATTCTTTTTATCAGGAAGCTGTGGTGCTGGTTTAATTTTATTTGCCTTTTGCTAAGTTTTAGGAGCCAAGGATATTTATGGTATCCTTTGTTTGGAAATCCTTTCCAGATCAACTATCTCCTAAACAAGTCTGCATTGAAGATGTTTTCATGGTAGATATCACTATCATAACCTGATCTTCCCCTGTTATTCTTATTCTTTTGGTTGCTTTATGTTAAAATCAACCTAGGCCCAAGGGCATACACATCAGCTCTCCAGTGGATTTATCCATTTCGTTCCCTAGGAGGCTTGAGCTTTATTTGATGTAGTTGTTCGAGGCTATTGGGAAGGGGCAGGATGAGCGTAGAAAAGGCTTTAAAACATTGTATTACTTATCTTTATACAGTTACACTTGTTATGGGAAATAGCATGCTCGTTTTATTTATGTGATCCTGACCAATTAGAAAACCTAACTAATAAAAGAAATTAAAGTTAAAAAAATGACAAAACGTGCTTATATCATACACTAGTATGCTTTACTCAAGAAAACTGAAAAACCTTATTTAAAAATGTGTAAATAGGAACGCTCAATGCAACCTGTTGCACTTCTTCATACCATTTGTGCCATCTAGGAATAAAGAAATGCCCTCAAGGGCATGCTACTTTTCCAACATTTGTTTATTTTTCCATCTCTTGTCAATGTTGGATGCTGTCACTGTTCAGCCACATGGGATTAAGGAGATCATATAATTTCAATGACATTTCATTTAGCTGCAGTTCTGGATTGGCATGGACTCATTGCTGCTTTTTCATTATACCAACATAATGTTATCAAATCTGTTCTAAAGACATTCTTTATATTGGTAGGAAATGAATGTGTGCCTGTAAGAATTTATGTATTATTGATTGATATGTTGTTGATATATATTTTCTGTCTATTACAAATGGTTCCTTATATAGATGTAGGTGTAGTGGATGGTGTGTAGTGGATGGTGATAGTGGTGTAGTGGGTTAGGTTTAGTGGAGTGAGTAGGTGAGGTGGTAGTGGTGTAGTGGGTTAGGTTTAGTGGAGTAGGTGAGGTGGTAGTGGTGGTAGGTGATAGTAAATTCTAACAGTGCCTTACTGGACTAATTCAAAGTTCATTTTACATTTGTACAGGCGGATGCAGATAAAGATGGTCGTCTAACCTTGAGAGAGATGATTGATAGTCCATATGTATTTTATAGTGCTATATTCAATGAAGACGACGAAAGCGACTATGAGTACCATGATGAGTTCCGTTAGTTTCAAGTTAGGTGAGTTTACACAAACACATGCAAAGACATACGTATGCTTTTCTGTCCATTTAATGATGTTTGAGGGTTTTGTTTCCAGATTTGCAGGATACTAGGAAGCACAATAAATGAAAATCTTTCCAAAACACTTGTATGGTATGTAAAATTATTAGGTATGTTATCAAGGCCGAACTCTGGTGAGTTAAATCTCTGTTGTTTTACATCTCACATTTCATGGTTATATCTGATGATTGCTACCATCCAGTTCTCATTATATGCTCTACACATTTTGCAGATTGCGAAACGTGGCAATACTTGAGATTTCAGTTTGCACTTTTTTCTTTGCCCAAACTTTTAAAACAATTCATATTCGAGTTTCGAAAACTGTCTCTAAAATTACGGTTATAATAACTATATGGTAGGAGTCGTCCCTGTGTCCAGTACCGTGGAAGTTTTGATAGACTGGTAATTGTTTTTTTTGTTTTTGTTTTTTCCATTCTTTTATTTGAACACGCAGATTTTGTACAGACTAAATGGCTGTTGCTCTGTATCTTAATTTGGCTCACTTTGACAGGGTGAAACTACAGAGATCCATTATCTGTGCTATTATGTTTTATATAAAATGCGCTAGATTATCCGTTGTGCCACAGTTTTCTAATTCTAAAATTCTGTTAGAAACGGCTGGGTTTTTTATTCACAACTTATGTGTGCTTCAGCTTTTCATTAACTTTTTCGGTTTTTGAAATTTTAAACCCTAATCAAAGGCTTCAGTTATTTTATAGTGAACAACAAATTTTTTTTGGTTAGCACGGGATTGGCGTGTGCACACCCTCTCTCTTTCAGATAATATAATGAAAAATTCAAGATTCTAACAGAAAAAATGAGAGTGATTGGTAAAAGTAGGTGGAGATTGGTTAATAAATGGTAACACGTTTCTTCTCAGCAAATATTTCTACAAAAATGGGAAAATTCTGTGCTTTCTACCTGAAAAAATCCAGCATGCATCTATTAGTCTTGTATTGAAATGTTCATCTTGGGTAATTTTATTTTTACACATCAATTTTTTTCAATTCACACACTTAGTGAAATTTTTTTTCTATAATTTTATTTTAAAATAAAAATACCATAATAATCTTTTCTTGTTTTACTCAAATTCTAATTTTAAAATATCACAATGATCATTCATCGCCAGTGTCATTTCTCTCATCTGCCATCTTTCCTGTCACAATTTTTCTTTTTTGGCTTGGGACAACCTTCCGCCACGAACCACTCATTCTTACAAGTCTCCTGCCATGAACCATCCACGAATGGAAGGGAATGATGAGCCTAGAGTGACAGTGATGGTGGCAATAGAAGTTTGAGAGCGGGAGCAACAACGACAAATGAGGGGTGGTGGATGGAAGAAAAAAATTTCAAATTAAAGATTATAATATTATTGGAAGAAAGAGTTGTGTGATAAGAATTTTTTTTTTTTTTTTTTTTTTTTTTTTTTTTTTTTTTTTTTGTAAATGGGTGTATTGGCAATGTAGTCATTAAGCATGTTAACAAGAAGAATTGCTGCGTGAAAATAGAATTACTGGTGGTTCGGGTGTTCATGGGACAAACAAGCAATTTGAAGGGACTTTATTAGAGCTAGGTTTCATATAACAATTCACTCATTGTATACAGAACAATAGCAGGTAAGGTAGGTTATTCAATCAGAACTCAATTTGAGACTCTCAATCATATCCATTTTTGGTACAGAGATATTCAAAATATAATTAAACCAGTTTTAACAAGGAATCCTTCAAATTGAAACATTTCTGCACAAACAAACGTGTTTTCTACTTGATCTTTTGCCCCTTCTTCTTCTTCTTCTTCTTCTTCTTCTTCTTCTTTTGATGATCGTCAATGTCACTGTCGTCGTCGCTATCATCATCATCATCATCATCATCATCATCAATATTGTTGTTGGTGGGGTCATCATCGGAATCGGTGGGAGGAGAAGGATCGAGTCGAGCGGCGTCAATGGCCCATTGGATCAGCTTCTGCACTTCATCATCCTCATCTACTCCATCATCACTCGCAATTGCAATTGTTGATCGATTATTAGATTGCTCATCACCACCGTTGGACTTGTTGGGGAAGAGAGGTCTTGAGAGCAGCGAATCGAGCCAACAGATCATCTTCGGTGTGGTTGCTGCTGCTGCTGCTATCGAAGACAACCCTTTTCTTCTGATTATCATCGTGATCGGCTTTTGTTTCTGGTGGTGGTGGTTGGGGTTGCTTCTTGGACGGTGGCTGTGATCGAGAAGATCGATCGTGATCGGCTTTTGTTTCTGGTGGTGGTGGTTGGGGTTGCTTCTTGGACGGTGGCTGTGATCGAGAAGATCGAAGGGCTTGGAAGCGACGGTCGAGATCGGGGTCGATGTAGGAAGATGGAGAAGACGAGGAGGAGAGACCACGAGACATGTGAGAGTTGACGCTGAGGTTGAGAAGCAACTCGTCCTCCGCCGCTCTCAGCAGCAAATCTACCTCATCACCACCACCACCACCACCACCACCACCATCGCACCCCTTCCTCCTTCCTTCTTTTTCTGCTTTCGATTTTCTGTTCATTCTTTGTTGCCTGCCTGCCTTCCTTCAGAGCTTGAGTTGTTACCCACCAGGCTTCTTCAGTTTCCAAACCCCATCGCAACCCTCCACATCATCTCCGTTTGGGAGCTTCAATTTGCACACACCCCTTCCTATGTACACACACTTAACAATACTTATTTTTATTATAATTTTATCTCTAGATAAAATTACTATTATGGACATCACACACAATTCAAATAAACACAAGGTCTCAATATACATTCACATCTCATCTTAGACTACACGTTGAAGCATGACGGTCCATGGTGACACACTTCATTCTTCCATACCCAGTTTGCTAAACATCCACACTCCATCCTCATTTTTTCAAACCCTTCATTGTTAGCTTTCATTCATTAGTTTACACACTAAGCACCTCATTCTTGATTCTTAGCTTTTCATTAGTATACACAATGTTGGCTTTTTTGGCTTTTGAAGGTTAATATTGTAATTTTAAGCGTGTCAGCAAGGATCAATCAGTTCTTACAGAAGATTAATTGCCAACTAATTATCAGACGATTGTGTTTTAATTCTTTCAGCCTCAATGAAGAGAACTTTTACTGGTGGTTTGTTTAGGAGAATTTAATAAATAACAATTAAGTGAAAAATAATTTCAGAATTTCATTAAGTAAAATGAAAAACTTATAATGACCTTACCCAACCTCGTAGAAGTTTACAGCAATAAGCTATTTGAAACTACTTCTATGAATGAAGTACAGTGCAGGACTTTAAAGTACAAAAATGTAAAGAACTGTAAAAACTAGAAGGGAAACAAAGTAAATAAAACTGGTTATTTAATCTGAGTCTAGATCCTTCATTCTGTGGCCTTCTCTACTATTTATACTTCTCAATGATAACCGTCGAAGTGGGCTTCCAACCATCAAAATGTCCTCCCATGATTGCTGAACATGCTCTCTCACAGTCAGTCTCACTACGCCACATTCAAGTTAGGCTTCCCTCCTGATTTTGAATTTGAACTTTGTGAGTAACCGTCAGGCCACATCACCTTATATCCTTTGATTTTTCTAGTGCCACGCAGATCCATTATTATCAATACGGGCTGACACGTGTATGACTTTGATTGACAATTTGTATTAACTTCCTAAATTGCCCCATTCATGCTGCGTGTTGAATTGTGATTGACTTTTACAATTTATACAGCCAACATTACCCCCCGCACTAATATACCCATTACTTGGTGATATTAGTGTATCAAGACACTTTACCCACGTCCTAGGACGTGTATGGGCTTTGCATCTTCTTAGAAATGCAATCGACATCCATCATTGTAGTGTTTGTACTGCATTAAATTCTCTTCTATGCCTTGAACATTTCCCATTATCTGAGCATTCGAAAAGACTGATACAATCCTCATGGCCAAGCAAGCCTTTTCTTACATTGATTGAGCATACGAGGAGTCTATGGAAAATGATTATAGACCTCGAAAGAATCTCAATGCATTTATTGATTACACCTATCTACCTCCATTTATGCAAGTTATGGAAGCTTTTGCAACATACCAACCTTTAGACCCGAAGTTTGCCAATTACGAACCCTTAGATCAAGCATTTACAAAAATGGATCTTGGAAAATCTTCACCTGCCCCATCATCTTCTGCATGGAACACAACTGCTTCTTCCTCTACCCACCAACCTCTGCATGGGACACGGCTGCCCCTTCTTCCTCTAGGTCTAATGGCTGGGGAAACTGGCCAGAACCTGATAAATCTAAGCTAAGAGAGCGAATTAACCATCGATTCATCGAATTCGTTGATCCTCTATCTTTCCCTCCTTTTGCTCGGAGGTCGGTGGTTTACCCCTATGTATCTATCGATCGCCGACACAGTTTAGAATACAACTTATTTATAGCGTGGTACACATTTTTCATGCTTACGAAGACAGTGCAAGCAACTCCTTGTCCGAAGGAAGTACAAGGATACAACTCGTCATTCTTAGCCAAGAAGGCAAAATTTTGCTCTTTTGACTGGCTTGAATGTGTGAATAACCTCCAGTTCCCTTCTTCCTTTGGGATGGACCCTCATGCGCTTCCTCTTCCTCAAAACCCTCACTGGATGGAAGAACTAAGACTTATCCTCTTTGAGAATCAGTTTCTTCCTTCCTACCAACCTCCAGATCTTCCCACTATGTTTGAGCGATACCAAGCTTAACTTTTGCTTACAACCTTTTCTCACTTGCCCTTCAATGTTCTTGGATGTGATATTCCTCTTAAGAACTGTCGATGGGCTTGTGACATTATGACTCGGGGTCATGCCCTCAATCCCATTGCTCAAGCAGAACTTCAGATGTTTTTGGATCAATTCCCACTGTTTCTCTATTGATACCAAACTTCTTTGGCTACCACTCAATCTTTGGACAAAATCACGGCCCATCAAATTCACACCCAATATGAAGTAGAGAATCTTATCGACGAATATAATGACTTCAAGAATAAAGATTCTACATACTGGGATGATCTAGATATGGATGAGATGGAACAAGGATTGAAGGAAATGGAGTTCAAAATGAAAGTTAAACAACTTTTCCATTAAATAAGAACATATCAGCTACAGCAACCCAGCTTGGATAGGATAGAGGACAGAATAAAAAAAGAACATAAATTCATTGACCACTGTTGAAGAAAATTTCATGACCTTATTATTCTTTCTATTCCTTATTTTTATGAAATTGAATTTGTAGCTAAGAAGGCTTTCTAATGTAATTATTTTCATATTAATAAAGCTAGGTTTTCCTTTATTTATTCGGCATGGTCTGATTTTATATTCAAATTGCATACTTGTAACCATTCTATTTGCTCAAATCAAACAAATAGCTTCAAATTTACCAATTTTGTCCTTCGAAGCCTAATTTGAACATTTCTAATGGAATACTAGAAGCCTAATTTGAATATCTCCAATATATGGAATATAATTGACAATCTTTGCCTTAGGTCTTCTCATTACAATCATATGGTTAACACAATCAACAGCTTTGAATTAACTATCTTTGCTTTGAAAAAGTAGTCTACGTGTTTCGAAATATGGAAACTTCCTTTAAGGATTGCACTATTTTATTCTTAAAGAGTGAGTCCCTTTGGGCTTTTTCACTACTTAACCAAATATTGGCTTTTTACAACTTCGAAGTCTAAAACAAACAAATTCTAACTGCAGAGTATTTCAAAGTTTACTTCGAAGGATTTTATTTTCAACAAGAAACTTAAAAGGAAGTCTTTAATACTCCTGAAGCAAAGAAAAACCTGAGCATTCTTGTACTCTTAGGTATGAAACGTACTTCGACGTCAACTACCTGCTTTCGAAGCCCTAGCTGGATGTTTGTCATCTGGCTTTGGAGCCAAACCTTGGCTTCGAAGCCAAATATTTGATTTCGAAGCCAATCTGAGTGTTTGAGATACGTTTCCCTCCTAAACGATCACTCTTGAGAGAAACTTTTCATATCCCTACCTTCAGTACTTCTTATGAATTTTCCTCATTTAAACTAATTGGGCATCTTTCGAACAGAAAGGTTTAAAAACCCTTTCCTTTCGTGTTTTTAATTCACTTGCTCGCCCAACACACAGACACTTCATTTCTATTAACCTCTCATCTTCTTTACCTTTTTTCTCAACTTCGTCCTCTGAAAACTTCTATCAATGACTTCTTCCTCCTTGAAGATACCAGTTGTGAAGCGCGTGAGCCCATTCGTTGCTTTAAAGAGGATCATTGTTGAAGAGTGTAAGAAATACAAAGCTGGCGAGAAAAATGCTATCGATGGGCGCATTTTCATTTCCGCTCGTCATGAGCAACAGGAATATGTGCTTGGGCCTATTTTTAAAGAGGTCTCTACTCAGTTTCCAGCTCTGTATCCACGTTTGGAGGACCACTGCCTCCTTTATGAAGGCGGTCTTGATTGGGGAAGCTAAAGAGTGAACTGACCCCATCGCTGTTGGCCCACAGTAAGACCAGAATGGGAAGAATGGTATGATCGGGTCGTCCCTGCTAGGACACTAGATCTCCAAGAACTTTGCCTCTTTGACTCCCTTTAACTATCCAGGTTCACTATTTCGGAGGACCTATTTTTAATACCTGCTACTCTTTGTTTTTGGAATTCTGCTTTCAATTTCTTCCAATTTAGATGTGGTATGATGGCCCTTACTGTCCTTGACAGTTTCCATCTGTTAGGGTTATCCCCTATTGGTACTCCCATTGATCCAGACTACCTTGACCTTAACATCCCTTTTTCTCTTCCCCCTCTAAATTCATCCTATAGTGACTTTGTCAAGGCTGATAACAAAAGGGAATGCCCTGTGACTGATAGGAAATTCTTTTCTTTTTTATTGTATTGGCTTTGCAAATTCCTCTTCTGTACTTCTTCTCGGAGGATTATGCTTGAATTTGCCCCTCTTGAAGAGTGTAAGAAATACAAAGCTGGCGAGAAAAATGCTATCGATGGGCGCATTTTCATTTCCGCTCGTCATGAGCAACAGGAATATGTGCTTAGGCCTATTTTTAAAGAGGTCTCTACTCAGTTTCCAGCTCTGTATCCACGTTTGGAGGACCACTGCCTCCTTTATGAAGGCGGTCTTGATTGGGGAAGCTAGAGAGTGAACCAACCCCATCGCTGTTGGCCCACAGTAAGACCAGAATGGGAAGAATGGTATGATCGGGTCGTCCCTGCTAGGACACTAGATCTCCAAGAACTTTGCCTCTTTGACTCCCTTTAACTATCCAGGTTCACTATTTCGGAGGACCTATTTTTAATACCTGCTGCTCTTTGTTTTTGGAATTCTGCTTTCAATTTCTTCCAATTTAGATGTGGTATGATGGCCCTTACTGTCCTTGACATTTTCTATCTGTTAGGGTTATCCCCTATTGGTACTCCCATTGATCCAAACTACCCTGACCTTAACATCCCTTTTTCTCTTCTCCCTCTAAATTCATCCTACAGTGACTTTGTCAAGGCTGATAACAAAAGGGAATGCCCTGTGACTGATAGGAAATTCTTTTCTTTTTTATTGTATTGGCTTTGCAAATTCCTCTTCTGTACTTCTTCTCGGAGGATTATGCTTGAATTTGCCTCTCTTGCCAAAGCCTTTGTTTTGCATAAAAATGTGGCCTTAGCTCCTTATGTTTTGG